ACATGAGAAACCTGAATTGTGTCAGAGGGCCACACCAACGATAACTTGAACTGAATTCTGCTCGACTTTCTTCCATTGTAAAATGCACTAAATTATATATTTAGTGCATCATAAATCTAATAAATTATATATGTAATACATATATACATATTTACTAAATTATATATTTAATAAATCATATATTTACTAAATTATATATTTACTAAATTATATATTTAGTCCCTGTCCGGCCTCTCGCAGGCAGGACAGGGACGCACAAAGGGCCGGATGCGGCAGGCGGGCCGTAGTTTGCCCAGGTCTGACCTAGAGAGATGATATGAAGTCTACACTTTGGAAAACAGCAAGAAAGCCAAAAACAATTATGCAGAAAAAGAGAGAAAATCAGTGCAGAAAAGGGTAGGCATGGAGTCTTGTCAATGTACAGATGTTCGTGCGTTCTTGACCTACCAGAGTGGCAAATCAAGTAAGCCTAATGCCCAGATTTTGGGCCATATGTAGGCAGTGAAACACCCAGATCCAAGGAGTCAGAAAGCAGCTATTAAAACACCTGGTTCATGATGATACTGAACATATGAAAAACTATTAAAACAGATAATAATAATAGAATATAAAAACAAAAGTAAATAAAAATAAAATTGACAAATAAAAAAACTAACCTTTCCAAAGCATCATACTCCACACTAAGTCTTGATGGTAGCCCTGCAGCATCACTGTTGACATAGTTTCCTGTGACTGGTATTGGATCTTTGCTCAGGTGAATCACATCTAACTGTAATGGAAATTTAATAAATATCATCATTACACATATTTAAGAATGCATGCTAAACTTTACATTCTTATGCATATTAAGGCAGAGCAGCTCAAGTACTAATATAAACTCAATGAGTGCACACAACAATAAAATACGCTGTGATGTCAGGGTGTCATAAACGCCATTACACTGAACATCTATATAAGATGAATAGCAACCTTAATACTTAACATTTTATTTTCATTTTTGGACTGTGATTAGTCAACTGATATATCTAAATACACATATAAAAAAGCATTTTGTAAAAATCTACATAGATCATGGAATATCACCAACATGGCAGTTTACAATTACTTTTTACCTGCTTACTCCCAACACGCAACACATGCTATCACCTGTATCCGATCATAAAATATATACCCTGTCTGTCCCAAGCAAATCTTTGATTTTCAACTTTCACTGACAAAATCTACTGAACAGAGATACAACTTTTCAATGGCATAACATCTACTGATTTATCTTATTTTTTCCAAATTTTAAAGATTTTGTGCCTCTTACTGATGAACATAAAGAGATAATGTACTGAAATATCAATATATTCCATGGAAGGACAGAGGTTGAGAGAGAAGGAGGGCAGAGGAGGGCAGAGGAGAAGAGGAGGAGGAGGAGGAGGAGGAGGAGGAGGAGGAGGGAGGAGGAGGAGGGAGGAGGAGGAGGAGGAGGAGAGAGGAGGAGGAGGAGGAGGAGGAGGAGGAGAGGAGGAGGGGGAGTGAGGAGCAGGAGGATGGAGGAGAGGAGGAGGAGGGGAGGGAGGAAGGAGGTTGGTGGAGGAGAGGGAGGAGGCTGGAGTTTGTGGAGGAGGAGGAGGAGGAGGGAGGAGGAGGAGGAGGAGGAGGAGGAGAGAGGAGGAGGAAGAGGAGAGGAGGAGGAGGTGGTGGAGGTGCAGGAGGAGGTTGAGTGAGGAAGGTGAGGAGGAGGAGGAGGAGGAGGAGGAGGAGGAGGAGGAGGAGGAGGAGGAGGGAGGAGGAGAGGAGGAGAGGAGGAGGAGGAGGAGGAGGAGGAGGTGGGGGAGGAGGAGGAGGGGAAGAGAAGGAGGGAGCAGGAGGAGGAGGAGGAGGAGGAGGAGGAGGAGGATGGAGGAGGAGGAGGAGGCAGGAGGAGGAGTGGTGCAGAAGGAGGTTGAGGAAAGGAGAGGAGCAGGAGGTTGAGGAGCAGGAGGTGGAGGAGGGAGGAGGAGGAGGAGGAGGAGGAGGAGGAGGAGGAGGAGGAGGAGGAGGAGGGAGGAGGAGGAGGTGGTGGAGGTACAGGAGGAGGAGGTTTGAGAGAAGGAGGTGGAGGTATAGGGAGTGGAGGTTGGAGGAGAAGAGGTTAGGAGAAAGGAGGAGTGGAGGAGAGGAGGAGAGGAGGGTTGGAGGAGGAGGAGGAGGAGAGGAGAAGGAGGAGTGGAGGAGGTGGAGGGAGAGGAGGAGGAGGTGGAGAGGTGGAGGAGGTTTAGGTGTGGAGGTGGAGGAGGTGGAGGGGGTGGAGGAGGAAGAGGGGAGGAGAGGAGAGGTGGAGGAGGAGGAGAGGAGGAGGAGGAGGAGGAGGAGGAGGGGAGGGAGAGGAGGAGGGAAGAAGTTAGTAGGAGGAGGAGGAGGAGAGTGAGGAGAGAAGGAGGCGGAAGCGTAGAAGGAGGAGTGGAGGAGGAAGGAGGAGGAGGAGTGGTAGGAGGAGGAGGAGGAGGAGGAGAGGAGGATTAGGGAAGAGGAGAAGGAGGGAGAGGAAGAGGAGAAGGAGGTTAGAGAGGAGGAGGAGGAGGAGGAGGAGGAGGAGGAGGAGGAGGAGGAGGAGGAGGAGGAGGAGGAGGAGGAGGAGGAGGAGGAGGAGGAGGAGGAGGAGGTGGTGAAGGCAATGGCAGAGGAAGAGGAAGAGGAGGAGGAGGTGGTGAAGGCGATGGCAGAGGAAGAGGAGGAGGTGGCAATGGCAGAGGAAGAGGAGGAGGTGGCGGAGGCGATGGCGGAGGAAGAGGAGGAGATGGTTGTAGCAAAAGTGGGTGTCACATGCTGCTCGGGACTGTACATTTGTTGCTTCTCTTTTTCTGACATTTACTGCTTTATATGTTGTTCTTTTGTTGACTTTAATTTTGCTTTTTTAGTTACCCATGGTGATAATGGTATATTAACACTTAACAGGGGGATGAAAGTAACAATAAATACCTTGAGATAAACTGACATATATGCCACTAATCACTCTGACTGAATGCTGCTAGCAGTTTTTCCTCAATTACAATTGTCAAGAGTAGCATAAATTCACTCCAAGGACAATGCACATTTGGGGAGATATTTCAGAGGAAAATCACCTATATCATAACTATATATTAGGTCTGAACTCCCACAATCTCACACCTAGGATTTAGACCATAAGTCCACTTAAATGGTTGAGGAATATTATGAACACTGGTTTCAAATGAGTGATTTTTCAACTCCAAGTGTCAAATTCTTGCTTCAATCAATCTTTAAATGGATGGTATTTTTCTCATGTTATGAAATCTAATTTGCAATATCTGCAATCTTAATAAACTATTTTAATTTGTGTAAATGTAAACTAAGTGATTAACAGAAAGCAGTGAGTTAAAATGATGTAGAACTTACTATTTAAAATGTAATATAATGATTTATATCGCTACCATGAGTATTATAATAAACATTAGTTCCAATAAGAAGTTGCTCTGTCTTTCTCGGTATTTCCTTCTTCTGTCAGTCTGTCAGTCTCTATCCTTCTCTCTCTGTGAGATACTTCTTGTTGGGGTTCCATCGTCGGCACTAGTCTGTGAGAGTCTTTTGTTGGAATTTCACCTCTGCCATCATTCTGCGTGATGCTTCTTGTTGGGATCCAATCACTGCCACCAGTTTGTGAGGGCTCTGTTTAGGCATACCCCCAACGTTGGTGGTTCTAGGAAACGCATAACCCAGTTCAGAGGTTTACTGTTTATGTAGGTAGCTTGAGGTGGATGTTCAAGATGAAGGTGTATGAGGTGTATGAGATGAGGTAAAACTGGCAGGGAGCCTGGAGTGGTGCCCCAAGAGGTGGTGTCCGAGCTGGACCATGACTCTGTTTGGAATGTTTGTATTGGTCCAGGAGAAGATTGGAAGCCTTGTGACAGCTAGAGGGGTGTGACCTTGGTTAGCACAGAGGTGAAGCTGCAGGCAACACTGCTGTCAGTTACAGGGCGTGATCATGGAGGTGTCTGAGCACTCTCAGACTCTCTCTCTCTCTCTCTCTCTCTCTCTCTCTCTCTCCCTCTCTCTCTCTCTCTCTCTCTCTCTCTCTCTCTCTCTCTCTCTCTCTCTCTCCTCTCTCTCTCTCCCCTCTCTCTCCCCTTTTCGCTTTCCCCAATCTAAACTTCTATATGATCTGCCAACTTACCTTTAACTGGGTAAACTTGTGCCAAAATCCTGCATCAACAGCTGAACTAAAGGGAGCAAAGGATTGCAATTGCTGCATCTCCCATGATGGTCACTGGTACCAAATCATCTGCAATAGTTTTACTCTTATAAGTCTGTATGAACATAATTTTGAGAAAAATAAAATGGAATAATCTAAAAAAAATATATATATTAACCACATGCTGCTGGGATGCCATTGTGTGTTTAATCTAGTCATTATTTTTGCATATAGATGGCTCCACAAGTACTGTCACCAATGAGCCTGTTACAAGTACATGTCTCACCTATTTCTCCTTTTCAATAGTTTTTCTAGTATTTAATAATGCTGTTAGTAATGTCAATAACAATATAGTAATTATAATGTTTATAACAAAAAGAAGTGTCAATATTGATAGCATTAGTATTAGTGTTTTCCCACTACTTCAAGGAAAGGTGAGGTCACAAGGTCTACTACTTGACTCCTTTGTGGCTAAGAACTGGCAGGGCCATCCATGTACAGAAACATTTAACAAAACAATACTAAAGTGAACACAAAATTTTCTTGTTGCCGTTGGGTTAATAAAAAACAAACAACAAAAATCCTCACATGATTTCACAATTCTTTTCAATAGGTTAGCAAATTCATAGATCAAGAATTAACCCATTGCAAATGATTGTTAGACTATAGTCAACATAAAAAATACTGGCTTCATAATGGGTGTACAATGTATTTTACCCTAAGCATAGAAAATGTTAATACTGGATTAATCATAGGTGCCATCTGTTCACTGGGATTGAGTTAGTCCTCTTTTGTGTCTGGCTGATTATCATGGCCACTGCACATA